TGCTTATGGGATAGTTGTCAAAATCCTTGCCCTCAACTTTATAATACTTGAAGTTGCATGGATGCTGTTCTGCAAGAGGTGGCTTTCTGTGGTCTTGCTCTTCTACAACACTGCTGTTGAACAGCTTCACCAAATAGTAAAGTTGGAATGCTTTATTTTTCAGTACTTGGGTTTCTGACCATAACTGATTTTTTAAAAGGTATGAGAAAGGATATTTTCTGTGCTCAGTGCACAGTTTGTCTTACTGATCTCTTTTGGACTGATCCTTATTTTAGTCACTAAGTTAAAATTAGAGCTCTTAGTTGCCTGGTAAATGAGTGATTGAATTTGTTAGCAGAATAAAAATTTGTAAAATGTCATGCTCTTAGCTTGTGAGGTCAAGGGCTAGCATAATGGTTCACGAGAACCAAGATTAGCCTCAGAGCTGGATTTCCCATCCAGTGTTGCTGATTTCCAAACTGCCCTGGTTAGTCAGCAGTATAGAAATCAATCTTTGGATTGCAAAGCTTGCAGGGATGTAATCTCATTTGGACTTTGGTATATATGTTCAAGTCATTTTGATTTGTGGTGGCTCATCACTTCTCAGAAATCATCATAGCTCTCATACCACAAGCAAATAGTGAAGAGGATCAATGTGAGCTGTAGCTTGGGGATAATGGTGTCTGCCACCCCAAGCTTGCTGCTGTGCTTTCTTCATCCTCATCGATCATTTTTACTATTGTGCTTCAGATTATGAAGTGTTATGTGGTTACAGCAGAAGGACAAAACTAGAAGGAAGTATTGCTCTTTAAACAATAGATTTTCAATAAATGAAAACTAGAAAAGAAGACAACAGTCCTGTGTAGCCTGTGTAACAAAGAGCAATGTACAGTGAAAAGGAAGGTATATTTTCATAGTAGCTATACAATTTCTGTGCCTTGTTTCGAAGACGCTTTGGAGTTATGGTATTTATTCTTGGCCTGGCTCCTGGTATCCACCACTGTAACAAAGTCTGCAATCTCTCAAAAGTACAATGGCAAACAACATCTTTCTTGTCATGGCTGCATGAAAGATTTCCCAGAAAGATTTGGGAAAGGCCTCTTTTCACAGAGGCAAGATAATTCCAGTCACTTTATTGATGGGATGTATCTAATCTGCAAGGCAGAACTTCTACCTCTCCAGGATGTTCAGTGTGCTTGGCAGCTGGGGCATGCTCCTTTCCTCAACAAGCTGCAGCTCCTGGCTCCATACCAATCATCCCATGTGCTCTTCTGAATGCTTCTGCCTGCCAGCAGTTTGGGCTGCTGACCTCTGCTTTGAAGGCTTTACACGCATTCGGAAGAGGCATTGAAGAGGAACAACTTATGTTTCCCTTTCTGGGGGAAAAAAAAAGTTAATGATTTTCTGTCCAGAAGCTATAGTCACACCTCAGACTCTTGCGGACAGCACAGAGGGAACCTAAGAAGTGAATGGTCATGGAAATGGTTCTTCTCTTACCCTTCAGCTCCTTCTGCGTGAACCGCTTCCACAGGGCAGTGGTTAGCTTGTATGGCTGCTGCTGGCAGAACTCTTCCCATACTGTGAAGATCTGTGTTACCACACCTGGCCTGGGTTTTTTGGTGGTGGAGGAGAGCTAAACAGAATGGGGAGGGGATTGTTTTGGGGTTTGGTTTTTTGGGTTTTTTTTTTTTCAGTTTGCTTATCAAAAGAGTTTTTCCCGTCTGGCGCTGACTCCATGGACAGGAAAATTGTCTTGCAGTGATGATCATGGGTTTTTAATTTAATGAGCCCGCGAGGTGGTCATGTCTCTTCTCTAAACAATAATATAATAATAATAGTACTATATACTGTAGGACTAGTGATGGCTTTGAGAGAAACAAGACAACATGTAAGGATTTTCAGTATGCAATTGGACAAGTGATAAGGGCAAGGTAGATGAAAGAGTTTTTAACACCATATTGGGAACTAGGGTGTTGTATAGTTCTCCTTTTAACAGTACTGGATGAGTATAGCCCTTTCCCAGGATTGTCTTTAAGCATAAATATACAGAGTGAGAGCTCTTGCTCTGAAGTTGTATTTTCAAAAAAAATAACCTTGACAGGACTGTGAATGATCTCATGGTACATTCACTGTCTAAACTTATCATTGGGCTGAGGGAATGCTTTTTCTGTTTATCACGATCTTTTTTTTTCCTTGTTTCTCTGTTGCTGAAACATTCAAGAGGCCTTTTGTTGAAAGAGTTCATCCGAAGGGATACTGAAATATGTGATATGGAATACACTTAAAGATTTGTTACTCTCAATGAAAAATCTTTCTCCATTTCAGGAAATATGATAAAATAGTTTTCCTCTTAAAATTAGAAAGTTCCTATTTCAGTCTGCTTATAGTATCTGTATTGATACTCTTTATTAGCAGGGGTGGGGAGCCAGTTTTTATGAGTAGCACCTTAGAGAAGTTTTTAAAAATGTATTTAAAATTCTACTGCATTATATGTATTTTAGAGCATAATAATTGGTGTTGTTTTCACAGCTTTAGAGAACCATATGAGGTAAGTTTTCATGTTGTACTTCACTCTGTCCTCGCTGTTTAGGACCTCCAGTACATAAAGAAAACTTTTTAAAGCCTTGTTAGTCATCCTAGGCTGGACAGAAGTTGTTTCCAAAGTAATTGTAATTATCATATGACACGTATTCACTGATGCAACTATAATTTACATCTGGAGTAATTGGAAAGAGTCTTAATAGTGCAGGTTATGTTCATCATCTTACTGAAAAGCAATGTTAACATAGCAGGACTATTGTAGATATCGTGGACTTTGTAACTTGATTCAAGGACATGTTTTCAATAGACAAAAGTGTGAAGATAATATTTCTGTTAAAAAAAAAAGAACAACTAAGAGCAAAGGTAGAAAACACAACTGCAGGGAGTGGCTTCTGTGTTGCAGCCTTCTGCTGTGTAAGTCCTGTGGCTTTTTATTGGAGATGAAAGATGGTATCGTCTCCTAGGATCAGACCTTCCTCATTGATGACAAAAGTTAGTAGTTTGTGGTCATGTCACAATGAGATGAATGGCATTTTCACATACCAGGTATTTATTTTCAGATCAAATATGGCAAATTGGGAATTCCTCACCAAGTCTATATGTCCGTGGTTTGAAATGTATAAATATAGCTGTGCTTGAGTTACACACACATGCATACACACAATTCTGAATGAAATCTCAAACCCTGAAAAATTGAAGTGAATTTTTCCATATAGTTAAATGTCCATCTCCTGATCCCCCCAGAACCAAGTTAGAGTATTAAAGAATATATAGAAGAATTTGTGCTGAAAAAGATAGGATGTGAAATAAAAAATATAATAGGTATCATTCACTAAATTCTCTAATTTCTGTGGAAGCTTATTCTTCACAGTGCCTTTGTGGTTTGGGATTTTTCTTGTTTGTTTTTGCTTTTGCAACCTGATCTGTGAAATGGCAATTGTAGGAAAAAAAAAACTGTTGTATTTTTTTAATTTTAAATAAAGTTGGAAAATTCTGAACAACTAGAATTAAGGTTCTGGTACTGTCAACCAATGTTGGTATGATGCTTTATTTGTAACTGTCCTATGGCCAACTGTGGCACCTCTCCTAATGTTGCCCCTTCCTGCTCCCAGTACAGAGGTTTCTTCCAGCCTGAGAAAGCAGCACTGCTCAGTCACAGGCTTTGAAGCCAATGTGCTCACCCTTTCACTCCAGTGTGTCCTTTGTGTGCTGCTCTAGTTCTGTGATGGTCCCTTCTAAAGCCTTCCCGGTTCACCAGTAGTCTAGTTCTGTAAAGCTTTCTCTCTCTCTCTCTGCTGACTTCTCCAAAATAAGTGCTATTCTTACCATATTATTGTTTTGGAGTTTATGCCTTTTGCCAGCACAGAAATGCCTGCCCTTTATAAATGCAGTTGTGCATTGAGAGCAGTAAGTGTTCCATTCTGCTAGTTCTGATGTTTCAGGCCCATCATCTTCCTGGTGCATATGTTCTCCTGTAACTATTAGTGATGTTGGTTATTTCCTGTTCTTTATCTCTGTAATGTTAAGTACAGCTGAAAAGAAAACTCTCAGTGTTAAAACAGATGAACTATTTTAGAGATGAGAAATGTTTGTCCTTCACTGGGTGATGGAAAAGATTAAAAAGATTCAGTAAGTCATGGGTGCTAACAGGACTAGTAAGCTTTAAAATGCTTTGTGAAATGAGAATGTCAAGGGAGAGCTTTAAATTTACCTTTTTAACTCTGCAAAGCCATCAGTTGGTCATTGCCCCTGCAGACCCTGATGTGAATCACTTTTTTAATCCATGTAAAAGCTTTTTCCCCTCTAAGCATGATAGTCCAGTTGAGTACATGTGTACTCACCATATTTGACACAGCAGATCCTGGCAGGCTGGTTCCACATTAATCAGATTCTCCTTGTAACGTTCCCTGTCTGAAGAAATTATTTTCCATTAAAAAAGACACTTTTACCATCAGTGGATGCTGCCATGGTGATAAGAGCATGGTCCTGATAAAACTCTAAGGTAGGGTAGCTGCTTACAGCTGGTGTCTTATGCATGCAGGCGAGACTTTTTGTAACCCCTGACATTTATCAGCAGGAGTTAAATATTCATCTCTGCTCATCCTGACATCTTGTTCACAAACCTTTCACTTAAAGACTGTGATTGAAAAATTTACATTAGGAAAATGTACACTAACAATAACCTCCTGCCTGGTATTTGTACAACTCATTAGCAGTTCAGCAGTACCTCAGTCTACTTCTTACCTGTTATCTGTGCTTATTAGGGACATTATTCATCTGTAGACTGTATCCCTTGTTTCTGCTTCTCCATTTCTTGTATTTTTTCTTTTCTTTTCTTCTTGTGTTTCCTTTCTTTCTCACTCTTATGCTTTTTGTCCTTTGCTTGTCTTTTATTTCACCCCTTTCCTCCTCTTCCGTTCCACTTCCAACTTCCTTTTCCTCTCCTGCCTCTTCCTCTTCCTCGTTTGGTCCTATTGAAGTTGAGCCCAATGCCGGGACACCACGTCGTAGACCTCTCTCCTTCTGCCCTTGCTGTGCCCATGAAGGTAACGTAACCTCACACGCTCCCCATTCTCCTTGACCACAGATGGGTTGTAGCAGCACTAGTCAGCTAGTGACCACAAGGCCCCCAGCCCTGTCCCCAGCCCTGTTCTTGCTATGTCCCCAGACCAACCTTCTCAGTAGCAACCTGGTAACCAGCTTCTCTAAGCCTATGGCAAGTTATTAAAGGTACAGTATCCCTTTTGCTAGTCCAAGCTGTGATAGGGAAGGTGTAGCGACTGGGAGGGACATTGGGCAGCAGCAGTGAGAGCAGTAACGACACACTCGAAAGTTTCTGTTTTCATTTGGTGGCTTCAATTTCTCCATTCCTCCTGAAAGATGTTTGTTAGGTGGGATAAGGGAAGAAAATCTCCTTCCTTAAATGGCCTTTTAATTAGTATATATGGATTAAAGGAATACTGTGTTTTTATAAGGACTGGTTTGCAAAAACATTCTTGAACTTTAAAAACCTTAAGCTAGACCAGCTTTCCCTCATCTGTCTTCCTGAGTGCATTCTTTAACTGTCCCAAATGGAGTTTCTGTTGCCAAGGCATGGGGGAATGGGTTGTTTTTGTGTGTTCGTGGTGTAATTTTGCTAACCACTTACTCTGCTTTCCATGGTGCTCTCTCACATCAGTTGTCAGTGCTACCTCTCCCATCCTCCCATTATTCCTCTGCTCATTGGCTGTTTAAAAATACTTATGTATTTCATAGGTCAGTAGCGTTGTGTTTTTGGCTTTTTCTTAGAGGCATCTGTTTTCTATACATCCTGGCATCAGAAAGGAAGGGGAGACTTCCCAGTGCTTTCATGGCGCCACAGCACTGGACATCTGCATGTACAGTCTCCCTCTCCTATCGCCACATGGGCATATTGTGCAGAGATGCTCAGAAAGGAATGCTTGGAACTGAGCAACACACTGGTACAAAGTCCATAGAGCCAGAGGCTCTTAGGGTGGCAAAACCAGGTCTGGTATTCCTCAGGGGTCTGCTATTATGGTTTTTCAAAGGCAGGTATTCTCAGCCTAAGCTGCAGTTCAATAGGAGTTGTAGGCTCTCCTTTGTTTACCTCCAGTGCAGCACTTCTCTGGGATCCTAAGGCCCGAGGCAGGGCACAGGTCTGAATTAACTAGCCATTAATGTGATATTTGTGAAGTGTTTCCCCGAGTCTGAATAGTAAGCTTGCTGCTTGATTATTTTTAGCATCCAAATGACTATTTGAGAGTTTTTGCTCTTGATGTAGGTAGTATGTATCCATAATAGCAAACACAGACAGGGATGTTAGTTACTTTAGGATGCCTAGGTTACATGCAGTGCAAGCTGATAGGATGTAGCAACCTGAAAACACTGTTGAGCTTGATTGGAGGCCTTGCTCCTGCCTCCGTTTCCATGCCGGCAGGCGCATTGCTAGTGTCCTTGGTGGTGTCTGATACAAGTCACCGCATTCATGTGCAGGTAGTTTAGTGTGGAAGCAGTGGCCCAGACCAGGAGACTGCTTGGAGGAGCTTCCCTGGTAAGCTCTTGCATTTGATAAATACCTACAGAAGGCTTTGGGAACAGCATTCTGCAATTTATTCCACATAACCCCTGACAGAGGAGAGATTAATCAGTGGACTATTGAGTTGGTTTTAAAATAAATGAAATACCAACTAAGAGTTCTGCAGTAGGTGGCCAAGGCCCAAGGGATTTTTTTTTTTTTTTCTGCTTTGATATTAGCAAATGTGTTTGGGGATTCTTTTTCTTTCTAGTGCTGATGTGCAATACAGTAGAAGTAGTTTCTGTGTTCACTGTGCAGAGGGGATCTTCAAGATGGATAGATACATGTGGCTAGGAGGACCAGCCAGAAAAGATTTATTTAGCTATTGAAAAAATAAAAGGTGATATTTTACTTTTGGCCAGTAAAAGAAAAGATTGAGGACATGCAATTGAAGAAAATAAAGGTAAAACAGATGGAGCGGCAATTGAGTCCATTTCTGATGAACATACATTTAAGTAGCTGGCATAAGGATCTATAAAGCTCTTCTAATGAAAGGAAAAGTGAAATACTTAGAGAAGTCCGGCCTTTCTGCATTAAGAGTGAGGAAGAAACAAGCAATCAGAAGAAAAACAGAAAGAAAACAAAAAAATCAGGCTCCAAAGAGAAGAGAATTCCTTTGGAGGCGACTTCCACTCTTCTGTGTACTCTAGGCAAACTGAACGGACCCGGCTTGGGAGTGCTCTGGCAGCATCTTGCTCGGCTTTCTTTGCACATTTTGCCCCATTGTTGTTTTGCAGTTTGAGCTTGTAAGGATTGCAGGGCATTACCTGAAAACTTACCAGGTTTCTTTTTTGGCAGGCATGGGTAAGAAGGATGATCCCAAGCTGATGCAGGAGTGGTTCAAGCTGGTGCAGGAGAAGAATGCCTTGGTTCGCTACGAGTCCGAACTGATGATATTGTGAGTGAATGTGCAAAGCTTCAAAAGGGGGTTTATGTTACAAATAGGATTGGAAGATCTGTCAGTACTGTCTTCCCTCTAATGCCTGGTCAGCAGTCTCTTTGATTCTTGGCTAGGATAAGAAACCAAGTACATTTCAGAAAAGTGGTAGAAGAAGGAATAATAGCAGTAAGGAATTAAAGTTCCAACTATCTGTGCACATGCAGAAGTACGGGTGCATGTTCAAAGCTCTGAGCCCTTCTCAAGATGTTCTTGGATAAAACATGTCTTTTTCATGCAAGGGTTTTCAAGCTATGCAGAAATAATGTATGACTCCTTTTGGTTTTGGTAGAGTCCACTTCTAAGTGTAGCCAGAAGTGTTTAATTCAGTCACCTTTGCCATGTGGCTGGCCCTCTTCTCTGCCTGTAGTGGGACCCCAGTGCCTCTGATTTGGGCTCAGATGTTAAGGCTTTTTTCCTGTTAATGAAATTGTGATTTTTCTCAGTCCCTGTGTTGCAAATTCACTGAAATTCATTTCTGAATATGGCAACTGATCCAGGCAGTGTGGAAGCTGATTGTCTTAGTGTCTGCGTCAGAAAAGCCCCAAGGTGTTGTCTGGATTGGAATATGAAAAGGCAATGGCCTGATGTGTCCTTTGTTGATAAGTGATTTTGGTTTTAGAACAGGAAGGAGATACATAGAGATAAAGTATAATTTTTCAGATTTGCTTGCAGGTTTATTTCCTTCACACCATTTTAGATTTAATCCCACCTGTAATCCATTCAGCTTTCCCTATTGCACTTCTTAGCTGAAGGTAAAGAACCTGAGATGCTGAAAGTACATTCAAATCTTAAAAACAATGTAGTTATGTATCTTAGGAGTTTTAAGAGTTGTTCCAAAACAGATTGGTAAAATGCACAGCAGGTAACTAGAGGGGGAGCAGAAGTTGAGAATTAATATGAAGCAATGTATGGAGTATTTTAATATACCCAGGACTTGGATTCCTGATGTTTCCCTTTCAGCGCTCGGGAGCTAGAACTGGAAGACAGGCAGAGTCGATTACAGCAGGAACTCCGGGAGAGGATGGCAGTAGAAGGTGAGAGCAAAAGGGAACACTTCATAGATTGTATGTGCTTATTTCTAGCCTTGTGTATGCTGATGGTTTTTTGTATCTCTGTAGATCATTTGAAGACAGATGAGGAGCTCTCAGAGGAGAAGAGGATCCTGAACGAGATGCTAGAAGTAGTGGAGCAGAGAGATTCTCTGGTGGCTCTCCTTGAAGAGCAACGTCTTCGAGAAAAGGAAGAAGACAAGGACCTGGAGGCAGTCATGCTTTCCAAAGGTTTTAGCTTGAACTGGTCCTGAGCTTAACACATTTACCTCTGCTGGTCTGTGTTGTCCAGTTGGCCTACCCTGAATGCACCAGAATTACATGGATAGGAAGATGTTGAAGAGGAGACCTCCAAAGGGTCTGACAGCGTGCAGAGATTTGGTTTGAAGCACTCAGAAGCCTTTTGATAAGCATGTTGGTTCCAGAAGCTTAAGTTTTACATGTCTGCAAGCCAAGTTGAAGATAATGAGTTGAGACTGTGGAGTCTCCTTGAGGTCCTATACAATGGACCGTATTTTTGTGTGTGTGCTAGGAAGGAGAGGAATAATCCATGTGTGGGGAAGGAGGTTAAGGGAAGAAGTACCCTTAACTAAACTGGATGTATGGAAGTCCGTTCCTTTCCCGTTTTTACTACACGAGTTCTAATAAAAGGGAGGGAAGTGGCAACCCTCTCTGGAAAACCACAGCAGCCTGTAGCAACCTATATGGTGGAGTCAGCTGTCTGAGAGAGCTCCAGAAGCCCGGGGCAACACCTTCTTTGCTTTAGTCTTCCTCCCCACCAAAGAAACCTGCAGTTGATCATTATCCATGGATATAAAGAAATGTGAGTCAGAGAAGATACTACTAGTATGTGTGATGGAGCTCTCTGCCTCCTGGTTTTTAGAGAGATGTGGGCATCAGAGGACTCTCTCCCTATCATAGCCTCCTAAATCTTCTTATGGGGGGAAAAAAAGGGGAGAAGAAGAGAGAGGATATGCCCTTCTGCTTTGCTACACACTGGAGAGACAGCTACTGCTGGCCTTAGTCTTCATGGCCACAGCTCAGAGGCTGGTGGGTTTCTTTGTTCTGTTTTTATTGTGACTGTTTTAACACTGGAAAATACTGACTGTGGGACATTGGTAAGTGTGTGCAGGGGCAGGGGTGTTACCAGGCGGCATTCCCTGGCTGTTAGGCCCCTAAAAGGGAGAAGCCCTTAAGTGACCGAACCACCATGAAGACTTCAGTGTTTTTATTTTTTTCCTCTGTATTTTGTTTTTGCACATTGGAAACGAAGCTTAAGACCTGCCTGGGCCCTCAGTCACTTTGACCCTTTTTTGTCAATTAACTTATTTTTTTAATACTTGAAAGAAGATTCATTTTTGTATCTTTTAGGGAAAAAATGGACGAATGATGGGTGTGTGTGCCTGCTGCATCCTATAACTTCCACTTCTAAATTACTGGACATTGTTACCTGTGGCTATTTATTAGTGTTCTTATTAATAATTTGATTGTTACACATATTTGATTGTGGAGGGAGTGTTTTAACTCTGTTAGAGAAAGACACTATGGCGGATTGGTCCCTGCTTCACAGCCAGGGCAGCCTTTATGGACCATGGATGCGTCCTGCCCTAGAAGTTTTTCTTTGACAAAATCCTGCGCATTCATGGAGTTGTAAGAATCTACTTGTGTTCCCAGTATACTTTTCTTCTGCATCCCTGATTCCCTCTGTTGGACTAATAAAACTATAATTTATTTAAATTTTACATTTTTATAATGAGAAAGCCAAAACTGAGGTAGAAATATCCCATATGTTTCTCTCTCACTAAAAGAGGGGACCCTCACACTCTTGAGATACATCTAGAGAGACTTCCATGAAAACAAAAATAGCACACTTCCTAACACATGTGTTGGAAGAAGCTCTTTTTGGCTCAGCTAGTGAAGCTGCTGCTTTTCAGCCAGGAGGGTACTCATTGTAATCATCCATTAAGCAGTGAGCAGGATGTGCACTGAGCAGTTCAGCGCCATTCACTGTTTGACAGATACCCTGTGCATGCTACATCCTTAACTTGTCCCACAGAGCTGAAATAGCACTGTGCGTTGGGTACATGTCCCACCCTTAACGTGATGTGTTAAGAGTTTTTTCCTCCTTGGGATGCTGACTGTGTTCTTTTCTTCTTAAAGACATACTAAGCTTGCTCCCCGATGTCCTTGAGAAAGTGTCCCATTCCCAAGCATATTCATACAATGTACTGACTCAGCTTGAACTTATGCTGTTGGTGCAAGGCACCCAAGCAGGGCTGAACATCCTTTAATCTTTTGCCCCAGAAGAGAAGTTAGCATGGTTTCCTGCTGTTGGCTCTCTACCTCCTTCAAAGAGGTCTTCTGTAAGCAAGGATCTAAGATTTGAATTTGCCTCTGACACAGGAGCATACCTCAGGCTGAGGAAGAATGGGTAGGACTGTCCCCAGATGCTCTGAGCAGTGCTGGTTGTTAACTGTGGAAACATCTTTTTTCTGCCTCAAGTGTTCCCCCTTTATCCTCCTTAGTGTTTTCTGCTAAGGCATTACAAATTAAATCCAGATGCTCATGAAACTAAGCAGACTGGCTTACCAACCGGATGTCCACCAAACAGAACTCCTCCCATTTGCCAGGGCAGGGGCCAGCTGCACAAGTCAAACTGGCAACGTAGTTTACACAGTCTGCATTTGAAGGGCCAGTGGAAGCTGGAGAGGGGGAAGGAAGAAAGCAAGAAGCTAGACACATAGTTTATTGTAAACTGTCTTGCACAGAGAACTGGCCTCAGTCCCTTTTATAGTGCACTAGGTATATGGACCACATCTAACTTTTAACAAAAGATCATTGAATGTGAGCTGTAGAACAGAAAGAAATCCTGAAAAAGAAACCCTGGTTTACTACTTTTTCCTGTACATACTGAGGGACACCGACCAGATCTTTGTAATGCCGAAGAGTGATATCACTTGAAGATGTAATGCCCTATTGCAAGGGAAAGCCACATATTCTAAAACTGAAGTCTTTAGGTTATGCTGAAGTCCTCCATCAGCGAGAATGAAAATTAAGAGCTAACATTGCACACACAAATTGATTAAAAATACGTGAAAGGGAATGTTAAGAGGCCTTTTTATATCAAAATGGTTGAAAAAGGCACAACTTGTATTTGCTGTTCAGTTAGTTGCACTTTAAGAATATGACTTGCATATCAGATACTGTTTTTTTTTACTATCTGAATATTTTTAATTCAACTTTTATATTTTTAAAGCTGAAGAAGGCTCTTGTGACCACAAGATCCCTTATTTGTATCAGAATCCAAGTAGGATGTTCTAGCTCTTTGTGCTGCCTAGATTGGCAGTAGCACATGACTCAGCCATGTGCATTCAATGACGTATGTCCATTTTGCGTATGAGGGGAACAAAAACGCCCTCAGCTCTGAGAAGTGGGCACACAAGGGCATCTGTCCCCACGTGACACTGTCCATACCAGGGGCTGAATGCTTTCTCCCTGCAGTAGGCAGGAGGAGAGACGAGCCTGGAACGTAACCTGTGTTCATTTTGAAACGGGCACGCTGAGGACAGGGGCAAGCACTTCAGTCCCTTACAGAGAAAGGAGGGGGATACCACCTCCTGCAAACCACCGGGGACACAAATGGGAATGGGGGAGTGGGGACTGTCAAAACAACCAATCTGCTGTTTTTGCTGTACAATTTTTTTAACTGTTCTGTTCCTTTTAACCGTGTTTTCCTTAAAACTCACAAATGGCTGTAAAATCCTGAGCTTCAAGAACTATGTGCGGGGAGGTGACATTTCAGCTCCAACTTCCAGAGATATTCCCTCTTTCAGTTAACCAACACCCCATGGTCTCACTAGGGCATGTTACAAACTGCCTTGCTGAACATATTTTAGAGCAAACTGCAAGTTTTACAAGTCTCCTTCTCTCTATCCATCTCTGCATTTTATGTAAATATTTGTTTGTATGTAAAGACACCAGTGGATCCTTGGGTTACCCCCACGGTCAAGAATCTGAGTTGTGCAATGCCTAGGCCTCTCTTAGAACATGGTGCTTGCATAGGGCTAGTCACCACATTTGTGTGCACTCTGGTGGTTTTTAATATTTTTATACATCCTAATCCTGAACATTATGAAGTATTACAAGTGGTCTAGACTGCATGATCTAGCAGCCGGCAGTTCCATTTTCTTAACAGCCGTTCCTAAAATGTTCACAGCTACACCTTGTTTGGTTAACATTCTTTTAAAATGAGTTTTCAATTAAGTGTTTCCACCAGACAACAGTGGATGAGAAAGGTGTTGCGCTATAAAATCTCCTGTGTACAAACCGAAAAGCCACAATATGGGCTTTCTGGGAATTTCAGTTGTCACACTGTCTGCAATAAAGAGAACTCTAAAGCATACTAAAAAACAGCCTGTATATAGTTCACAGAGAAAGAGATGGCTGGCTCTTGACCGTTGCAAAATAACAGAGATGAGAAGCTTTCCGAAAGTTCCTGCTTTTGGATTGCTCAGAGTACTGCTATAGGCAGGGTAGCCAGGCAGATGTCACTGAAAGCAGATGTGAAGGGGAGGATGCCATATTCTGATGGCACTGTAGTAATTTAAATACTCTGTATCTGTGTGTGCATGTGTGCGTATGTGAAGTCGACTCCAGGTGAAGGGATATGCTTTGGCATCTTCCCTTTTGTATGAAAGTGAACTCTGATATTCAGATTGTTCAAGGCTTTTACGGTTGGCATGTATGGAGTGTTAACAGAAAAGTGTATACCCTACCTGTAAAAAAACCCCAACTCTGTTCCAGCCTGTTTTCTTCTGTTTGGTTGTGTTTTATCATTTGTTTTTATGCACACTTGCTTTGTTGGTGTTGAGATTTTAGCACCTCAGATGGCCAACTGAACTAAAAAAAAAATATATATATAAAGTCTTTAATTATTTTTTCTTTTTGTTGGTGGAGTTACCTTTTGTTTCCCTGGCATTGACTCCCACAGCTGATTATTAAAGAGGAAGCCAGGAGCTGAGGGAAAGTGATCTTGACTTGAGATAAGAAGCTAGGTGTTAAAGGGCCTGACTTCATTTTATCTTTTGCTGGAACACTTGCAGCCCATCTGAATTGTCTGAGATACAAACAAATCCATCTTGATACAGCCCCTTGATACATGGTACTCCTTTCTCCATATTTTACATTGTTTCTTCAGATTCTCTTTGAAGAGAAATTACAATAGCCAAGAAGGTGTGAAGGTAATGTCAATTGAATTGTAGGAACTAGAATTTAATTTCTGTAGCTGTAGCTCACTTAGCCTGCAGTACTAGCGTGAACATCTGATGCTGGTATAGCAGCAATTAGCAAAATAAGGAATGAATGATATAATCTCTGTGCTGATTTTCTGGGTTGTTTTAAGCCTCCACCGCTCCACACCCATGTCTCACCTGCACTGTGCCAGCTCAGAAAGGTTAGCTAAGTGAGGTGCAGCTCTGGAGCTCTGCCCCTTGGACAGACTGGAACGATTCAGAAGTTCAACCTCACCAGCTCGTGTGTCAAGAAAAGGTATCTGGTCTGGGTATCTCCTGTCTGAAAAGGGGGGATGTTCAGCCTAAGTGGTGGGTGCTGGGTCCAATAAACATCAGGAGCTTGAAGCCCAGAGGAATGACAACCAGTCAGCAGCACTGCTGTCATTAAGTAGACTGAGAGAAATCATAAGACTTTGTGCATTTTTTTCAACAGGCAGAAAAAACACACAGGATGTTGTGGGAAATACCAGCTGGGGAAATCCCAAACAATGAGTCTTATTTTCCTGCCCACACAGTAATTTTTAAAGCAAAAGATA